GAAAAGATTAGGGTTTCTTCTTTGATATTGAGAGGCAGATGGAGGCTGAGGGTGGACAAACCCTAGCCCATATAATCCTTAAGTAGGGGATTAAACCCCAAAATATTAGGGCTTCCCACACAGCGGTCAACACGTCGTGCCCAGAGGGAAAACACGTCGTGTTGCTCAGCTAAAACATGTGTCTTTTATTGTCTAGACACACCGTGTTGGTACCTCCAACACACCGTGTCTAAACCCCAAGATTGCAACCACCAAACTAATTATCATGACTTGAAGGAATTATAAGTGCCTGAACATCGGGATGTTACATAGAGTCTATATCAATCTCAAGTGAATGTTACAGGCCGAATCATAATCTTACAATTACTTCCTTCCAGGGGCCAAATATTGGTCTTCCATACAAGTGTCAGGGGCTAAATATTGGTCTTCTATACAAGTGTCAAGGGCCAAATCCTAGTCTTCCATACAATACATAAATTTATATGTAGTCAGAGATCATATACACAGTCGAACAGATGATCCACCTGAATGCAACCAATCAGACAAGAACATTGTAATGAAGCTTTAGACCAAGAGTTCGCAGGCTATCTAACATAACCACCCATAGCCATTACTGAAATTATCCTAACCATTCATTACAACAAAAACATATAATATAAACACACTCATATGTTGGCATATTACATACCCATGGTGACTAGTCTTTCCTAGTTACCCTACCATTTCCCACTTCCCAATTAAGTCCTTCGATGTTCAATCATACATAATCCTGATAACGCGCCTTCCCCAGTTACCTTAACTAAAAGTAAGTCCTAGTCGTATCATACAATGAACAGGAAATACCCTACCAGTCCAGCATACCATGACACCAAGTGTCCCATACCACATATACAAAACAAGTAGTGATCCTAATCCACTAGCATACTTGTACGCTAACACTACCACTATCCTAATATACAAAGATATACAATGGGATATATGGCATAGTGAGAAATTTATAACAATGAAAAGACATATATATTGTCCACTTTTGACTTTTGAAGTATTTATTCTTTAACTTTGACCTTAAGTGTTTTTATTTTTGTTATAAATTACTTGTTGAAATTTATAACAATGAAAAAACATTTAAAACACAATCATTCATATATTTTGCATCAAGTATTATATATCAAAAACAAAAATATTTAAAGTTAAAGTTGAAAAATAAAGACTTCAAAAGTGAAAAGTGGACAATAAATATGAGGCGGAGATAGTGCTTATCGATTCCAAAGAAGAGTATGTATGTCATATCTTTGAAGATTAGTGGGTTAATCGTCGGATGAATATGAATAATAATGATTTTCTTTTATAACATATTTTCTAATTGACAGATTCATTTTTTTGAAAGAGTTGAATGTAATTGGAAAATGTTGGAATGGATTTGGAGATTGTTGAAATTGAATTAGAGTGAGTTGGTGGTTTTAAGAATACATGATTGTTGTTTATATAGTTCAATTAAAAATAATAATTATTATTATTATATAATAGATTAACAATATGTTCCTTTAGGGCATCTCCAACCCACCCCCAAACTCCATTTCTTCCCCCATTCTTCTCCAACCCTACCCCATTTTCACCTCCATTTTTGGAGATATGAATAGTATTCCCCCATATATGGAGGAATACTATTCATATCTCCAAAAATGGAGGTGAAGTTTGGTTGCCAATTTTAGTCTCTCTCATTTTTATTTTATACATTTCTAGTTTATTTGATCTACTAATTATAATTTAAATGTAATATTTAATATTTATAATATCATGTTATATACTAATTTATATTAATTAATCATAAATATAGAGTTTAATTAGTAGAAGGGTGTATTTGACAATATATATAAGTTAAAAAAAAATGGAATATTCTAGGAATATACTTTTTGGGGTAAAAATATGGTAGAAAATGGAGTAGGGTTGAAGATGAAATACTATTTACTTCATTTTTACTCCATTTATGGGAGAAAAAATGGAGATGAGTTGGAGATGGTCTTAGGAACAGTAATTTTTACTCCCTTTGGCCACATATGTTTGCCTTTTTTTTTTTTTTTTTTTTTTACAATTTTAGACCTTATGCCCATTTATTTTACACTTTTGTCAAATTTTGGACCTCAATATGTTTGACATAATTGGTCCTTATTTTTTACCCATTTTTACACTTTTGGTCATTTTTTAGGAATCTTTTAATATTCAAAGTTTGGCCACAAAGCTGTAAGGAATTGACAACTTTGGTTCCGTTTTAAAAAACTTGCTAATTCCAACCCTTATAGTAAACTTGCTTTTTTTATCAACTTTGCTCCTTCTTTTTTACCCATTTTGACACTTTTGGTCATTGGAATAAAAAAATTTTCATTTTTTAGGAACCTTTTAATATTCAAAGTTTGGCCACAAAACTTTAAGAAATTGACGACTTTGGTCCCTTTTCTAAAAACTTGCTAATTCCAACCCCTTTAATTCTTTAGCAATTTTGACACTTTTGGTCATTGGAATCAAAATTTTTACATTTTTTAAGAACCTTTTAATATTCAAATTTTGTCTACAAAACTTTAAGGAATTGACAACTTTGTTTCCTTTTCTAAAAACTTGCTAATTCAGACACATTTAATTCTTTAGCAATTTTGATACTTTTGGTCCTTACAGTCAAAACTTTTTCATTTTTTCATAAAAAACATAAAAAACGGCCCGGGGCGAAGCCCGGGTTTTTCCACTAGTTATTATTATTATTATTATTATTATTATTATATATATATATATATATATATATATATATATATATATATATTATATATATATATATATTAAAGAAAGCTAATGCTTAGGAACAGTAAAGTTCCTAGGCATTTGGCAAAATTGGTCCTCCGTTTATGTGTGTGGTTACAATTCTAGGTCGTTTCTTTTAGGGGTCATATTTTGCCATTTTTTATTTTTGTGTACACGTATTGTTTTGGATTTCTTTCACCGTTTTCTCCACCAATAAGGATTCGCTTTCTGTTACTCTATTTCCATGGTAACCGCCCCACCCTTCTCTTCTAGTATATTCCACTGTCCCAAAACCCACCGTCTTCATCTCGATCGTTCCTCAACCCTCTGTCATTGTTTCTCTCTACAAGTGATTCAGTACCAACATCACTACCGTCTACTCCAGTTCGTCTCAAATCCACAACTTTAATTATTATTATTATTATTATTATTATTATTATAACTAAAAAAAAGGAAAATGAAACATTAGTCCAACAATGTTTTTGGAATTTGCCAAATCAATCCCTTTAAATTTTTTTGTGCTTTATGGAGGCATAAGGTGGATGTCGACATGTTTATTTCGTCCCACTAACCTATAATAAGTTGTTCATTATGCCACACAATCATTAGAGAATATGTGGATGTCCACTCATCATGACATGGTAGACACGTGGCTGTCCACCGGGACCAATAGGACTATTTATGAGTCTTTCTCTCTTATAAACCCACCTCCATTTACACCACAAAACACACACACATACACACTCACGAGATACCTAGCTTCAACTCTGTTGACCATTGCTCAATTTCCTGCTGTCACTGTGATTCTTCTTCTTTAACCACATCTTTCTCTAATTTCTCCAGTCATTCCAGTAATTATGATCTAAATCGTACTATCAATTTTTCTGAAACTGAAACCACATAATCAATTTGACTTTTAAAGTCAAAATCAACCTTAAAAGTCAAAACTGTAGAAATTCATACCATGAATGACGTCTAAGCTTCCATTTGGCATTATAACCATAAAGAGTAATGATATTATGATGCTTTATATCTCCCATTGCTTCCAATTCTCTCAAAAATCCTCGATCATTTTTTGTTGTTTCTTTTCATAGCTCATAGCTTCGCAACGAAAGATGTTGAATCCTTAAACGTCAATTTGTAAACCATTTTGTAACCTCCAGATCTGATTCGGTCCTTGCTGGTGAGTTTCATCGTTTTCTTCAAGAACACATTCGATTTTAGGGTTTTATCTTGGGTTATCTGAACAGTACCAGCTTTAAACCTTTGAAATTAGTTCAACATCGAAACAAAAAATAATAATAATAATATAAACGTCAAGAACGACATACCAGAGAAGGTTTCTTGAATGACAAACTGTTTTTTCTGCCATCAGTGATAACAGAGAACAGCTATGGTGATCTTTGAGAAGATGAAAGCTAATACATAGATGGTGATGTATAAGCCCAGAGAAACCCGAGTGTTTTTAGTCATGGCGTTTTGAAAGAAAGGAAGATGAAGATGAAGAATTTGCAAATGGTCTCCTAAAGGAGTGAGATGAGGTGGCAAATTAAAATATATTGTACTATCAGTTTTTTCTGAAACTAAATCCACATAGGTGGTGTCCTCCCTCTTTGAGGTCGGGGGTTCAAGTCCCGTCGTGGACATAGGTGAAATAGGTGTTGTTAGCTTAGGAGTAGATTAGATTGCCGGTTCAAAAAAAAAAAAAAAAAAACTAAATCCACATAACATTGACACCTAGTCATCGCAATAGATGAGGTGGCAAAGAAATTGCTGGCTTACCCATTAATTTATTCAAAAAGGACTAATTAGACTCAACAAAACAACTTTATTCTCTCATAAAAACATGGAAAAAAAAAAGTTAAAATATTGATTCAATGAATTCGAAAAACATTATTGGGCTAATTAGTCATTTTCCCATAAAAAAGAACTTAGATAGAGAGATTGCATGCAGCTACCCAACCCATTCATATTCCACATGATGGTACCGTCCTAAACCTGCTCCAAGAAAAGGTTTGACACCGTGACCATAATATTATAGAGTATATAACTATATATAATCTCTTCTCCACTTATGAATTATATATAATCTCTTGTGCCGTAGAGATAGAATGTTCCTTAATCAAATACGTATCAGGCAACATATACACGCATACACAAGCAGTAGATTACATTTCCATGATCCCTTCAGGAATATTCATTATTACACACGGCAGGCAATAGAAAAGAAACTTGTTGAAGCAGACCATTATACAATAAAATGGAGTACATTAGCAAATAACATCCACGTACAAGATCCGAATGATTAGAAATCCTTTTGAAAGTTACATTAATCCCAAATCATCACAACTGCAATGACTCCAACACCAAGAAGCACAGCAAGGAACTTGAAAAATGGTTTGTCAAAGTAAGCGTCTTCTTGTGGTTTGAAACCTTTGGCTATGAGATGATGAATAGCTACATAAACAAAAACCCCAGTAGCAATCCCCATGGAGATGGCATACATCCAATCAGCTACTGCCCCTTCGGTTGTGGCATTAATGGCGATTCCTATTCCAACCCCAATAGGGCTTGAGATTGCAAAGGCGAAAGAGTAGATCACGGTTAACAAGAATGGCCTCTTTGGTATCAGTCTCAGGAGAGCGATTCCCATCGCAACTGCTGCAAAAATCTTGTGCAGAGAGATTGTCCATAGGTTTCTCCATGCATCTGTTTTTGTTGCTGAAAAGCAACATCAAAATATCGCTTTTTAAAACTATATGAATACATGTTCACGCTGTTAATATTGATCATAGAGTTTGATTCGGAGTACAAATAGGACAACAATTTTTGAAAGAAAAGGGTTATATCAGCTAGACAACTAGGATGATAGTTTCCTATTTCATCCCTTCAGAATTCAGACTTTTGGTTTTTGTTGTACACTAAAAAACCAAACAGAGAAAAAGAGAAAAACACTAATGATCGATGCAAGTACATACGTACGTAGTTCAGCCAATTGAGCCTATGTCATAGCCCCATTTAATTTACAATATATAACATACTTAGGTCATGATCATAAAACCATAAAACATAAAAAGATTCCCAATATCTACTCTCTTAATTAAGCTGTGATTATGCCTAAGGATTGGAAGTCTTTTAGAGAGTTATGGCTACCTAGCCCTAAATCGAGATTTTTTCATGACTATAAAACAATTCATGATCTTTTCCATATATTGACAATTATCAAACAAATAGCCGAGTAGACATCAAGTGTTTGTTTGTTTTTTTTTTCCTGCACTATTATCATCGTATGTGTAATTATGAATATAACAAGCACACAAAGGGAGTAGAAGCTTACATGATACACCAACAGCAATACCCTCGAAAATAGAATGGAAACACAATGCAAGGATAAGTAGAATGGTATCGCTTAAGGATGATGTCTTAACAAATATAGGGTGGCTGTGATTTCCATGTTCCGATGGATCCCCACCCCTCATCCTCCCCTCCTCCTCCTCCTCCACCACCGCCACTTTATTTTCCCCACCACCACCATGACCTCCTCTTCCGACGACATATAATATCACACAATCACTAAACATGGTGAGAAGGTAACCAGCCGATGCCAACATGAAAGCAAAAGGGTATGTTTTTGTTGTAAGATCACCAAAGACTTCGTTAGAGTCACTCAAGAAATGCATGAGAGAAGTCCCTAAAAACACACCGCCGGCGAACTGAGTGCCCAACAATAGAAAGCTTTCGTTCCATCTGTAGAAGTAAGGAGACACCCCGCCAGCAAAAGTGGTGACAAACATAATGATCAAGCAATAAACTTTCACCAACACCAACCCTTTCGCACGCAAATCGAGGGTGCCCTCCTCATCATCGTGGCTGTGACCGCCATGACCGGTGGTCAGGAAAAGTTGTAAAGAGAGAATAGTGATTAACAAAAGAGCTGAGTTTGACTTGAGGAAATGGAAGGAGATAGCCATGAAAATGATTAGATTTACAGTTAAGCTCTTTAACACATGTTGTCTTTAGTTATATATGTAGTACCGATTTTCAGATTAGATGGTGTTGTTAGAGTGTAGTACAGTCTTGACTTTCCAATAGGTGTACTGCACCACAGTTGTCATTGAAGATGTCAACGTAAATAAAACTATACAATATATAAATATAAATATCGGGGGCATATTTTAACAATGCCGGAACCAAATGTACCCAAAACTTGTGTTTTACACATACGTTTAAAGAAAATAGGATGATGTGCGAAATGACGTTGATTTACAAATTAATGTATGATTATCCCTGCACTAACATCATCGCATGTTTTCGCCTTTTGGGTTCAGTATTGAAATCATTCTTTAGAATAAAATTGAAACCCTAACTTGTATTTCACCATATCTCTCTTAAGACATCAAACTTCTTTAATATTACACGGTTGCAAAGGCTAAGATGATGTGTTAAATGATGTAGATCTACGGATTAGTTAATGTATGATATTTCCTAACATAATCTTAGGTTTCCGTATTTAATTATTGAATAAAAATGATTTTTTTGCTATAATATCAAAGTCCTAAGTCCTAACTATTATTTTTAAAGAAATTAAATTACCTCCTACTATTTCTCCCTACTAATATTCCTACCCATTAGAACTATGACACATGTCACCCTTCTACAATTTCATTTAATTTTAGTTAATATCTCTATAATACCCTTAATGAGGTAATTGAAAATTAAAAAACAAAAAAACAAAAAAAAAATAAAAAAAAATCACATAAACAAAAAGAAAAAAATCACGTAAGATCTTAACCAGCTTCATCCATACGGCTCCAACCCTATTATCATTTGATTCTACTCGCCTGATTGTTCTCGTCTTCTCTATTGCACACATCGACAGCCATAACCATCATAGGATAACAACTAAGGCATCACATAATTTTTTCTTACATTCTCGTTGCCCCGCTGGTATGATTATCTTGTTTATTGTTAATACAGTTGTTGTTTTATTGTTGAAACAATCTTTGGTATGATTATTTTGTTTATTGTTAATAAAATCTTTGTTTTATAGTTGATATAATCTTTGATCGGTATGGAAGATGCGGATTTAGGTGAAGGGGATACAATTCTCAATCCTCAAGATCAAAACATTCCTAAAGTTGGAATGGTGTTTGATTCAGAAAACTAACTTCAAGATTACTTTAAAAAATATGCATACCAGATTGGATTTGGTGTAAGGAAAACTAGTACAAGAACAAAAGAATGTATTGCCACAACATACTACCCGCTTGGATGTTTTAGAGGAGGTGTACATGTGCCTAAGACAAACAAACCATATCTAAAGTATTCTAAAACAAAATGTCAAGCAAAAATTTGTGTAATTGCATATGGTGATGGAAGATGTATTATCTCTCGTGTTTTTCTTGAACATAACCATGCTTTAAGTCCCAAAAAATCTCGTTTTCATCGATCACATAAGAAAATGGATTCATATGTTCAGAGAAGACTTGAGTTGAACGATTATGATGGAATTCCATTAAACAAAAGTTTTCATTTGTTAGTTGTTGATGCGAAGGGTATGACAATTTTCCATTTGGCGGGACAGATTGTAGATCTTACATCGCAAAAGCAAGACAACTAAGACTTGGGCTTGGGGATACTGAGGCACTTCGTAATTATTTTGTCTGTGTGCAAAAAAGAAGTTCAAATTTTTTCTACATGGTTGACATAGATGATGAAGGTCATATGCAAATGTATTTTGGGCAGATGCAAGGTCTAGGGCAACACATTGATACTTAACAGGAAAAGTAACAAAACCTATGTTATCTCTAAGAAAGAATAGATACATTAAGCTCATTTTAATACAATAACTGGTATTGAACCCAAATGGTGTGCTGTTTCTGCCTAATGTCATGTCTATTTTCTTCTGTCAATGCTATTGCAACGGTTCTAACTGGTTTTGTATCCATCTGCACAAGTTCCAACAAACATCTAAGCTTGATAAAGTGAGACCAAAAAATATGTGATATACACATTCCATGACATAATGAAGGATTATAGATTCAATTGAAAATTAGCTTCTAGATTATATCAACAAAAAAACTATTGGCACTAGCAAACTCATTCAATAGGGAAAAAAACTTCCAGACAATATCTCTTTCAAATTCCCTTTATGGATAATAACATTAAATTTTCAATAAGCCTATGGCTAAAAATCAACAAATTGATATGCTTTATAAGACATTGCAAGATGGGACACAAATAGAACTAGTACATCTTCAAACGAAAAGTATACTTTTTCCATGTAAGCATCGATTTCTTAAGGTTCTTTTTCTTCCTCAATCTTTTGATATTTTGAACTTTCAACCATCATTTTCCTCATTTACTCCTTCTTGGTCTTAAGAAAAATCTTTTGTTTGATCTTCGTTTCTGGTTTTTACTGAATTCTTCATATTACGCAGGTAAGGGTTCTACCAAATTACGCAGAGGAATTCCACAAAAACCTCGACTGGATCAATACAACAAGGTTCGATACATTCCAATAAGAATCCAACCTATCAACAACATCATAATCGAAGTCTAAAACGGTCCGCTTGAGATGATGATAATGTAACGCCTAGTTCCCGATATGAATTTACATTCGTCGAGTAGAAGTTGTCCTGACCGCGGGGTTTCATGAGGAAACTCGACGAGTTGAGGTACCTCAACTCGACGAGTTGTCCGCTCAGGAGGAAACTCTAATTTTAGGGTTTTGAACCCTATTTAAACACATTAAGTCCCACGTGTTGGCCTCATTTCAAGCCTCCATAGGCCCTAACCCTAATCTCGAAACCCTAGAGCCTCTTTAAGTGTTGTGATCTTATTGTGGGTGTTTTTTGTTGTGTTTTAAGCTCATTGAAGGAAGAGAAGCTTGGTGCAAGGTGGTGATACTAGTAGGAGTCTTCATATATTCGTTCTTTGCACCATTTCCAGCATATTTCGGGTATAAAGCTCTAACCTTGCTCAATATTTGATTAGATCTCTTTTTGGGTTATTTTAGATTCTTTTAGCCATGTTTGGGTGGTTGGTGAGGTTGTAGGATGTCCCAAGTGCTATTCTTCTAGATCTATGGTCCTCATGAGCTCTTTTGGCGTAAAGATGCCAACTTTATGGTCTTAAGGGATCCATGCACTCAATAAGTCCATCTTATGGCTTCTTTTGAGCATTTGAGCTTCTTCTAAGTATACTTGAAGGTAAAGTTGGAAACTTTACGTGGTATTTCAGCTCTTAGGGCCAGATCTTCAGTTCGGGGTTATGCCTTTGGTGATTTAGTGCTTAATGATTAAGTTCTTACCCTTTTAAGCCTAGGGTTTGGGTTTTGAACCCATTTTGGTGGTTCTTAGGGGTAAAGTTGGAAACTTTACCCTTCTTGAGGCTATTTCAGTTAAGATCTAAGTCATTAAGCTCTTATTTTCGTTAAGGACAGCTTAATGGATTAAGATGTTGAATTTCTGGTGAACTCGGCGAGTTGGATCGATTTCTCCCAACTTTGCAGACTGATATATAAACTCGGCGAGTTTATGGATGAACTCGGCGAGTTGGGTCAACTCGGATCGTTGACTTCGACTTTGACTTTAGTTTTTGACCAAGTTTGACCTTTATGGGGCTTTTGGGTATTTTGTGTTGAACTTAAGGAAATCTTTTATGTTTAGGGGTTCAGTTGAGTCGATATTCGGAGTCGGGATCCGTTTAGGTATCTTTCTGTATTCGAGGTGAGTTTCCTTACCGGGTTTAGCGGATCGAAGGCACCAATGTCGGACCATGTTTATGTTATGTTGATAGTATGTTAGCTGTCTTTGTGACTCTTGCATGTCCCTGTGTTTATATGCTTTTTGGACTAAGGTCCGATGGCGGGCGGATCCCGATGACTATTTGTATGCTATGTATATTGCATGTATAGGTGTTTATATGTTTTTCGAGCTCAGCTCGATGACCGGCCAGGGCCCGATGACTGGGTGGGACCCACTATATGTTATTGTATGTATGGTATGTGGTATTTTGGGGGAACTCACTAAGCTTTGTGCTTACGGTTTTCAGTTTATGTTTCAGGTACTTCCGGTTGTAAAGGGAAGAGCTCGGGATGACTGCATCGTAGACAATGTTGAGATTCGGTTTATGATATTTACTCTAATTTTATGACAAAATGATACATTGAGTTTTATTTAAATGTTTGGATGTTATTGGAAAATACTCTTTTATCGATTACTAACATTGAAATTTTTGGGACCATATTTTTGGATGTTACAAGTTGGTATCAGAGCCATGGTTTGAGGGATTGGGGCACACTCTCGGGTGTGTCTGAACTCAAACTAAGGACTTGGTAGAAATTTTTAAAAGAAAAACATTTTTATAAAAAGAATTTCTAAAAGAGAAAAGGGTGTGGTGCGTGCAATCAGCCGAGCTCAAGTAAGTTATCCCAAAATACCTATACATGTTTATATATGATATGAATATTGAATTATGGATCACATGCTAGATTAAGGCTAAGGATCTATGTGAGATGCCTTTGTATGCCTGTTATGTGAGTTTATAGATTTGCATGCTAGTGCCTATCAGTCAGTGATAGGATGGCCTGATTTGGTTATGCTCTGTTTTGATTACTTGATGCTCGAATGCTGCTTGCTTTGTGCTTTTAGGAGTACTTGCTAATCTCAACTAGTTAGTAAGAGAATATGTTAAGTCACATATTATGAAAACTAAATAATTTCAGAAGGTTAGGTTTAGCTCTATTCCGCAGCTCTTGTTTGAGTCCAACCGTTGTAGGGAGAAACCTCTCATTCGAAGAATTATCTAGTCTTTGTAATATGTAATTGTTTTTGTAAGCTAGTTAAAGAAGGTTAGTATGAGTTCCTTCTGCAGCTAATGGCGGATAGTGGTGTGGAATTTTCCCTAGGAAGACATAGGATGAGATTTAGTGATGCGAGCCTTATCTGAGAGGAAATTGTTGGTTTTAGGGTGACTTGGCTGAGTTA